TTTAGATCGAGCTTCAAATATCTTCATCACACACACACACACACACACCCACAAGCACATACGAACTCAAAATGCAACTGCATTCTGTCGCCATTTCGTGGCGTCAAGTGTACCGGGGCAACCGACAAATTATGCGGAATGATGAACTGGCATAAAACGTGTGTTATTCTGTGAAAAATGCAACCATTCCTCGAAGATGCTGGTGCCGTAAACAAAACCTACAGCTTCTGGCGGCGCCAACTGCAGACCGTAGGTCCAGCTGGACGACCTCTCGGGCCTGAGGGTCAGTTTGACGACGGTCTCGTGGACTGCCGGCTTCGTCCTGCCTCGATTGGCGCCGCCTCGCGCCTCGCGGTCGGTGGGCTCGAGTCCCGTCGCACCGAGGCGCCGGCGCCTGTAGACCGGCTCAGGCCGGGCTCCTGACAGTCCGTTGCCGGGGCCTGCGTCGACGCCAGACGTTGCGACGGGGTGGCACATCATTTTCTCGGCGTCCCCAAGATCGCCCAGGCAGGATCTAAAAAACATGCCGCAGACAGAAACATGTTGTCAGTGTATCAAGTTAAATTGGGTTTCGACGAAATCACGTGGCCATTTGGTGCGAATAGAATCTTTTATTTTTCTCTTACGTAAAGGTGGTTAGAAGAAATTCGTCAACTAGTCGCCCTGGAAACCGAAGGAAACATGATTGCCGGTTTGCGTGAAATGGTCCTCGGCGCACCCACCGTCCTGCACATTATTTCGGCTTTCGACAGGACCAACCCACCAATTCTTTCCGAACAAATGTGGCTTCGAAACGAAAGGTATTCAGTCACAATGACGCCCCTTTGAGTGTTATTCAGCCACAATGTTTGCCATCAAAAGTGGTCGGCACTTCAACCTTTCTTCGCAAATCGGTTGACGAGGCATTTGATACTCCTTTGACCGGGTTTCGACTCAATATTGTACCTTTTATGCTTGAAGAATAACCTTTAAACGGACGCGAAAATTGTTGTTATTCTAAA